CGCTTGAGTCCATCGATGCTGCCACCTGGCCAATCCATCTCACTGGGGGTCTTCCTCATTTTCTCTGACCCTCTACCTTACCAAACATGATAGCCTTCTCCAGCAACTGGTCCCTCATGACAATATGCCTGAAATATGAGAGACAATGTTTGGCCATCCTGGCCTCTAAGGAGCACTCTGGCTGCACTTCTTCCAACACAGATCTGTTGGTTCTTTTGGCAGCCCATGGCACTTTTAGTATTCTCCTCCAACATCATAACTCAAAAGCATCACTTCTTCTACAGTCTTCCTTATTCACTGTTCAGCTGTCGCATCCATATGTTGTTGTTGTTAAGTGCCATCGAGTCAGTTCCGACCCATAGAGACCCTGTATAGGGTTTCCCAGGAGCGGCTGGTGAGCTTGAACCGCTGATATAAGGTAATTGAAAATACCATGGCTTGGGTCAGGCACACCTTTGTCTTAAAGCTGACATCTTCGCTCTGTTGTTATTGTTATGTGCCATGGAGTTGGTTCCGACTCATAGAGACCCTGTGCAGGGTTTCCGAGGCTGTAAATCTTTATGGGAGCAGAAAGCCTCATCTTTCTCCTGCGGAACAGCTGGTAGTTTCGAATTGCTGATCCTGAGGCTCGCAGCCCAATTCATAACCACTATGCTACCAGAGCTCCTTTGCTCTAGAGCTCAGTAATTTGGCCTCCTGTTGATTCAGTCAGTATAAACTGAGTAAGTATAAAGAAAGGAAAAAGCTAACAAACACCTTTCCTGATTTTAAATCTTTCTGAAGGACTCTGTTCCTCATCAACAAAATGCTTGCAGCTGTGCCCATAATGCCACCAATTAAAGCTGCGCTTAAGGTTTGGGCTCCTGAAAGTCTTTGTTACACCAAGAGGCCCTCTCCCAAGTAGTTTCCGGTTACAGGAATATCTCCATAACTCCACCCATTAAAAGGCTGCCAAAAGCTCTGGGATCCGACCACCACTGTACCCAGGAGCGTACTGCGCGCCTTAATACGCCAATATGTAAGGGGTGGGTGGGCTCTCTGTCTCCCCTGACTTTGTGTACCCCCTCCCAGGTTTCTCTCCTTGACTCTTTCTTTCTTATTTCCTATGCTTCCAATATCCCATTGTTCTGTTCACACAACTGCCTCTTGGTCTATGTACAGGTTCCTCTTGAGCAAATTAAGTGTCTGAAACACCCACTCTTCACAATGTTATCCATAGTTGGACAGGTTCCACACAGTTACAAATATTTGCACAGTCAATAAAGCACAAACATCTGATAGTCTGTTTTTATCCAAGATCCACATGACCTCAGCAATGATATCCCTAATTCCACGTCCTCTTGTGAATTCAGCTTGAATTTCTAGCAGCATCCTATCAAGGTACTGCTGCAAGTTTTTAAATTATCTTCAGCAAAATTTACTTGCATGTGATATTAATGATATTGCTTGAAATTTTCTGCATTCTGTTGGGTCACCTTTGTTTGAATGGACACAGATACGGATCTTTTAATCTGTTGGCCTTCTGAATTTCCTGACATAGATAAGCAAGTGCCTCCAGTGCTGCTTCTGTTTGTTGAAAGATTTCAATTTGTATTCATTCATTCAGTTCCTAGAGCTTTGTGAGGGTTTTGTTTTTTTTGCCAATGTCTTCATTGCAGCTTAGATTTTTACCTTCACACCATTGGTGTGGTGCTATGGCTAATGCGTCTGGCTGCAAAGTCGTTTCAACTGCAAGGTCGGTGGTTCAAGCTCACCAGCTGCTCCTTGGAAACCCTACACAGGGTTGCTATGGGTCGGACTCGATGGCACTTCACAACCACCACAATCATCAGTTCTTGATCATATATTTCCATTCAAAATAGTTGAATATCAGCCACGCATTTGTGGTACAGTAACTGCGTATTCTTTACATCTTCTGATACTTTCTGCATCATTCAGTATTTTGCCCAAGAAGTCCTTCAGAAACGCAAGTTGTGGCTTGAGTTTTTTTCTTCAGTTATTTCAGTTTGAGAAACGCTGAATGTGTCCTTCCCTTTTGGTTTTCTAACTTTAGGCTTTTGCTCATTTCATTGTAATACTTGAGCATGTCTTCTCAATATACCCTTTCAAATGTTTTGTTCAGCTCTTTTACTTCTACATTTGTTCTATTCATTTTAGTTTTTCTATCCTGGTGTAGTGCTGTTGGATAAGCACTGGACCGCAAGGTCTGTTTGAACTACAACAGCTGTTCCTTGGAAAGCCTATACAGAGGTCTTATATGAGTTGGAACTAACTCAATGGCAGTTAACAACAACATGCTAAAGAGCAAGTTTCAGAGTTTCTTCTGACATCCATTTTTGTCTTTTCTTTCTTTCGTGTCTTTTAAATGATCTTTTGCTTTCTTCCTGTATGACTGTTTTTTTTACCTCATCCAAGTCTCTGGCCTTTGGTGTCCATAGTTGGTCATGACCCAAAGCATACAATCTGTTCTTGAGATGGGCTCTACAGTCAGATGAAATATATGCAAGGTCCTATTTTGGCTCTCATGGACTTAATTTTCTTCTGCTTCAGCCTGAATTTGCATATAAATAAATGATCTTTTTCAGAGTCTATCCCTATGAGTTGGTACTGACTCGATGGCACCTAACAACAACAATCTGATCCTTTCTTTGACTGATGATACTGAACACTAGCTCTTCCCACAAATGTAGTCAATTTGATTCCTGTGTATCCTATTCCATCTGCTAAGGTCCATGTGTACAATCAGCTTTTATATTCTTTAAAAAAGATATTTAGAGCAAAAAAATTACTGATCTTGAAAAATTCTATCATGTAAGTTTCAGCATCATTTCTATCACCAAATTCCTATTTTCCAACTACTGATCCTTCCTCTGTTTTCAACCTTTGCTTTCCAACCACTAGTAATTATTAATGTATCTTTATCGCATGCTTGATCAATTTCGACTTAAGTTGATAGAATTCTTTAATACTGTTATGGTTTCATCACGGCTTTAGGGGTTGGTGCATAAATTTGAATAGAGGTACTAACTAGTATTCCTTGTAGACATATGGATATCATCCTATCACAAACAGTGTTGTACTTCAAGAAAGATCTTGAAATGTACTTTTTGATGATGAATGTGACACCATTCTGGCATAGTAAACTATATTATTGTCAAATTCCAAATGGCCAATACCTATCCAAATTCAAAGCGCCAGATCTGGAGAAAGAGCCGTGCCTCCTTCAGCATCTGTGGGCCCAGCATTACTTGATGTCCATGTGTCTCACCATCAGTTTTTCCATGGATCTAGGAGTGCCACTGTGCAAGGTCACCATAGTCATTCCACCCCAAGCTCTTCTTTCTTCATGTTAGTAGATCCTTCTTTCTCTGCTCACTTCTCTCTCCTTTTATTTTTGCAAGATAAAAGATGTTGCAGGCCATACCCCAGGATATGCCCTAACATCAGTGAAGGCTGTGATAGGGTTAAGGGTATTGCAGCCCACTCATAATCCTTTTATTGGTTTATCATATCAGATCGCATCATGGGGAATGACCAAACTACTGAGAATCATAAATCATGACCCATCCACACTGACTTGTATTTTTAAGGGGACCCAATTCTATCAATAACACTGTTTTAAAGAATTGCCTATTTGAAAACAATAACGCTACTCTAAAGCATACATAACAGGTTCGTAGGGCAATGAGCCCATGTTAATAGTGGTGAAACAATTTAAGTAGAGATAAAATAGGAACACAAAGTAAAGAAAATAACCGATGTTACTGAACTATATGTACAACAATTGCTGAATGGGAGTATGTTTGTTTTGTTGTGAACAGTTTTGCCTCAAAATAAACAGTATAAAAAGGAGAAACTGTGGGGGCAGGGGAAGATTTGCAGTTTCTAGTATAGGTAGACATACAGCTAACACTGATAAGGGTATATACATGATGCCCATGTTCACACACACATACAAATCTATGATTTAATGCTTAGAACCGTTTTATTCATAAAAGCAAGAAAAAGCTCAAACATCTTCCCACTGGTGAATACACAAACTGAAATATGTGTATATAATAGACTACTACATAGCAATAAAAATAAACAAATTTGATACATTTATCAACATAAACAAATCTGAACTTCTTTATGCTAAGTAACAGAATGCAGACTCTAAACCTACATAGCAATGACAGTTTCTGGGATTCAGGGTTTGACTAAGTGAATTCACTGGGAATGGTTTAGATGGACGAAGACTCTTCTGTACTGTCACTATGGTTACAGGACTGGACACATTGGTCAAAACTCTTACTACTGCTCACGGCCAAGGCGAACTACTATTTTTAACTTTAAAAAATCTTATAAAAATTATCAACTAGAGAAAAACTGCAAATTCCAGAGAAGCAAAGGGGTTCCAGAAATGAGTGTCCCCTTTGCACAAAAATCCCTGTTGATGTTCTAGAGTCCGCTACAGGTTGCTTTGTCTGCAGATTTTATAAAATCACCACCATGTGAAGGTAGGCTGCGCTTAGTGTTATGTGGAAGAGGACATTGGACATTTGCAAATACCTACAATGGGCTGCCTGCAGTGATCTCTGAGCAACCTGCCACCCCTAGCCCAAGCTTATTCAGAACCAGAAGCTCCAAGGGAAGGAGCAAAGCAGTGCCAATAAGTATGAGAGGTAAATCAGCCAGCCAGGGAGGCTCCTGCCCAAAAGCACTTGTATCTCTCACTCTGGGCATCAACCAGTCCAACACCCTACCTGGCACAGGTCTCCTGCTTCTGCTGCTACTGGTTTCTCTGCATTGTTTTCCACTGCTTCTTGTCTCACATTGCTTACATAGTAAGGTCTATCTCCTGGGTCTAGGAGGTTCTCAGCACAGGAACCTTGTGAAGGATAAGACATGATATGCTCCTAGCCCCCTCTAGGATTGACTTTTTTAACCCTAGTGGGATGGCAAAACTGACCAATCCACAACAGGATTACACGTAACCTTATTTGCACAGAGCCACCCAGTCATTCTGTGGGAGTTATAGGACCATGGCTAGAAGGGTCCTGTGACAGTAATTCATTACACTGCATGTTCACTTCATCATGAGATCTTATTTGATCACTGAGCTGTGAGAACTGATTAAAGGCTTTCCCACATTCCTTATTCTCATAAGGTCTACCTCCATGGAAATTTCTAGTATGTTTATGGAAGGATGTGAAACAACTAAACACTTTCTTACATTCCTTACATTCATAAGACCTGTATCCACTGTGAGCTCTTATATGGCCAGTGAGGTATGAAAGCTGACTAAAAGATTTCCCACGTTCTTTACGATTATATGCCATCTCTCCACCGTGAATTCTTATGTGTCTAGTGAGTTGTGAAAACTGCTTAAAGGCTTTCCCACATTTTTTACATTCATGTGGCCTCTCTTCACTGTGTGTCTTTATATGGGTAGTGAGGTGTGAGGACTGACTGAAGGCTTTCCCACACTCCTTACACTCATAAGGCTTCTCCCCACTGTGAATTCTTACGTGTCTAGTGAGTTGTGAGAACTGACAAAAGCCTTTCCCACACTCCTTACATTCATAAGGCCTCTCTCCACTGTGAACTCTGACGTGTCTAGTGAGTTGTGAAAACTGCTTGAAGTTTTTCCCACATTCCTTACATTCATAAGGCCTCTCTTCACTGTGCGTCTTTATATGGGTAGTGAGGTATGAAGACCGACTAAAGGCTTTCCCACACTCTTGACATTTATAAGGTTTCTCTCCACTATGGATTCTTTCATGTATAGTGAGTTTCGAGTATTTACTAAAGGCTTTCCCACACTCCTTACATGCATAAGGCTTCTCTCCACTGTGAACTCTTAGATGTCTTGTGAGGTCTAGAAACTGCTTAAAGGCTTTCCCACATTCCTTACATTCATGAGGCCTTTCTTCATGGTGCGTTTTTACATGAGTAGTGAGGTGTGAGGACCGACTAAAGGCTTTCCCACATTGTTTACATTCATAAGGCTTCTCTCCACTGTGAATTTTCACATGTCTAGTGAGTTGTGCAAATTGCTTAAAAGCTTTCCCACATTCCTTACATTCATAGGGCCTCGCTTCGCTGTGTGTTGTTATATGGGTGCTGAGGTGTGAAGACTGACTGAAGGCTTTCCCACATTCCTTACATTCGTAAGGCTTCTCTCCAGTATGAACTTTTATGTGTACAGTGAGTTGTGAATACTGACAAAAGGCTTTCCCACACTCCTTACATACATAAGGCTTCTCTCCACTGTGAACTCTGACATGTCTAGTGAGTTGTGGAATCTGCTTAAAGGCTTTCCCGCATTCCTTACATTGATAAGGCCTCTCTTCACTGTGTGTTTTTCGATGGATAGTGAGTTGTGAGAACCGACTAAAAGCTTTCCCACATTCTTTACAATCATAAGGTTTCTCTCCAGTGTGGACTCTTACATGTATAGCAAGTTGTGAATACTGACAAAAGGCTTTCCCACATTCCTTACATTCATAAGGCTTCTTTCCACTGTGAATTTTTACATGCCTAGTGAGTTGTGCAAACTGCTTAAAAGCTTTCCCACATTCCTTACATTCATAGGGCCTCTCTTCACTGTGTGTTGCTATATGGCTGGTGAGGTGTGAGGACCGACTAAAGGATTTCCCACACTCTTGACATTCATAAGGCTTCTCTCCAGTGTGAACTTTTACATGTATAGCGAGTTGTGAATACTGGCAAAAGGATTTCCCACACTCCTTACATTCATAAGGTTTCTCCCCACTGTGAATTCTTACATGTCTAGTGAGTTGTGTAAATTGCTTAAAGGCTTTCCCACACTCCTTACATTCATAAGGCCTCTCATCACTGTGTGTTGTTATATGGGTAATGAGGTGTGAGGACCGACTAAAGGCTTTCCCACATTCCTTACATTCATAAGGCCTCTCATCACTGTGTGTTGTTATATGGGTGGTGAGGTGTGAGGACCGACTAAAGGCTTTCCCACATTCCTTACATATGTAAGGCCTCTCTCCTGTGTGAGTTCGCATGTGTGAAGTGAGGGACGAGGAAGAGCTAAAGGCTTTCCCACATTCCTTACATTCATAAGGCCTCTCACCACTGTGAGTTCTTATATGTCTACCTAGACTAGAGAGATGGCTAAAGGATTTCCCACATTCCTTACATTCATAAGGTCTCTCCCCACTTTGACTTCTTACATGTTTAGTGAAAGATAAAGAATAACCACAAGGTTTCACATAACCCTTATAATAACAAAGATTCTCTTTCACATGAGGTTTTAGGTAAGAAGGAAAACTGTACTCTCCTATACACTCCTGGTTTGTATCCAGGGTATGATATGGTGTGATGCTTAATGATGAATAATCCGTTAAGACATTTCCATACTCAAAGCATTCAAGAGGATTTACTCCAGCCGGGATTCCGCTGAAACCAGTAAGATTTTCAATCCAGTTGAAAGTTTTTCCACACTGATTATCGTCTTCACCTTTAGTTACGTCACCATCTTTTGTTTCAAAGAGACTCTCTACTGTACACATTCTGTTAAAAATAGGAACCAGGCTGTTAGAATTAAGTTACCATTTTGTTATCATTTTAATTACCGTAAGCAGTAAATCTGTTTTCTGTGCTAAATTGGCATGTCTTGTATAGGTTTAATCATCTTACAAAGGACACTACAATTACAGTCACATTATTTCTAAAAAATTAAGCTTTCTGATAATTTGGGACAAGGGAAATATGTTTCAAATACTTAACATCAGATTCACATTTATGGAAATACAGCATTGTGAAAATGATGGGAACAAACCACTTTAGACCTACTTTTGCACACTCCTGAGGCATCATTCACGGTCATGTGACTAACACACTCACCTCATAAGTCCTGTCTGGTCGTCATACTGACACTCAGTGCTGTCCAGTTGACACATCTGTCCAAGCATGGAGGACCAGGAATCATTCCTCAGGGAAAGTATTTGTCCATTATTATCCTGTTTAGAAACTAACCAAATAAATTTAAGTGAAGTTTCAAAAGATGAAACTAACAGTAAGGAAATTTTATCAAGAACAAGGCACGTGTGAAGGAGACTTATTTGGAGACATTTGGCTGTTAACGAGACTTTAGCAATGATCAAAAGGAAAAGAAATTTATTACGAAATACTTTAAAGACAACAGAGAGTGATGGAGATGTCAGTGGAGTGTGATTGTTATAGTTGCTGTCAGGTGCCACAGACCTGGCTCTAAACCATAGTGAACCTGTGTCCAACAGAATGAAACACTGCTTAGTTCTGCACTAGTCTCAGAACTGTTACAAGTTTAAACCCACTTCTGCTGCCACTGTGTTACTCCATCTCATTAAGGACAAACTGTGGTGGTGGTTATGTGCTGTGGAGTCGGTTCCAACTCATAGACCCTGTACAGTTTCTGAGGCTGTAAATCTTTACGGGAGCAGAAAACATCATCTTTCATCTGGGGAACAGCTGGTAGGTTTGAACTGCTGTGCTTGAGGCTAGTAAGTAGCCTGATTCGTAACTACTACATTAAGGGGAAATTAGGAGAGCAAAATGAAACAGTATGGCTAATAAGGTATGCATGTAAAGGTAATGTAGCGCTGTACGATAAACACTGGATTGCAAACAACAAACTCAGAAGTTCAAACCCACCAGCTGCTCCTCAGAAGCTCTATACAGGATAGCTATGAGTTGGATCCAATTCAACGGCACTTAACAATATAAAAGTAATATTTAAAAAAGAAAAGGGAGAGGAGGTCTTTTCCCACAAACACAAAAGACATGTATGTAAGCTCCACCTCCTCAAAGCAAGAGATTATCTAACGTTGATTTCTTCAAGTGTAATTCCATACCAGTTGTTGTTGTTGTTGTTGTTAGGTGCCACCAAGTCAGTACTAACTCATAGCAACCTTATACACAAGAGAATGAAACAGTGCCTGGTTCTGCGCCAACCTCACATCCATTGCTACGCTTGAGCTCATTGCGCCAACCTCACATCCATTGCTACGCTTGAGCTCATTGCCACTGTGCCAACCCAGCTCACTGGGGGTCTTCCTCTTTTTCTCCGACCCTCCACTTTACCAAACATGATGTCCTCTTCTAAGGACTGGTCCTTCCTGATATGTCCAAAGCATGAGAGACAAAGTCTGGCCATCCTGGCTTCCAAGGAGCATTCTGGCTGCACTACTTCCAGTACAGATGTGTTTATTATTTGGACAGGCCATGGTACTCTTAATATTCTCCTCCAACAACCCTATACAGGGTCGCTAGGGGTCGGAGTTGATTCGATGGCACTTAACAACAACACCACCAAAACACAAATGCATCGATTCTTCTACCATCTTCTTTATTCACTGTCCAGCTTTTGCATGCATATGAGGTTATTGAAAATACCATGGCTTGGGTCAGGAGCACTTTAGTCCTCAAACTGACATCTTTGCTGTTCAACACTTAGAGAGGTCTTGTGCAGCAGATTTGCCTAATGCAAATTCTTGCCTTTGTGATGGTCCCTGACATTAAAGACCTGGATAAGTCCTTTTTAACTTTCCTGAGATCTTTCCCATTGCTTCTCAGGAAGAAATATTAGTGTGGCTGACATGGTGTTCATGGGGAAGGGCAAATCATAATGGGTGGATCAATAAGCACATTTCTCTATGATAAGCTAAGACTTTAGTCTCCAGGATCTTCATAGATGGAGAAATGTGAGTTTATTTTTGCCAAAATAATCACTTCAAATTGGTAATAAATGAGGTGTCAAGACACAAATTTCTCTTTGCCCTGAAGTCAAAGCTGTCATTTACACTTGAAAAACCCCAAGGCTTTTAACAAGATACACAGCTAATTTAACACTAAAACCATCGTCTCATGACTAAGTCACGAAAGTGTAAACCATAAGGGCAGTGACAACACCTGTCACAGTTGCCAATGTGTTCAAATCCGCAACCCAAATTCTAGAAGGTTGATGAGTTACTCACTAGAGAAGTAAATGAGAAAAATAAAACCATCCTCACCTGATTCCAGGTTTCTGAAAGTCTCCATCATCACATCTCTGTAGAGTTGCCTCTGAGAAAAATCCAGCAAAGCCCATTCTTCTGGGCTAAAGACCACAGCCACATCCTCAAAGGTCACCGAGTCCTAAAAACACACATCAAAGTACCTCAGGTGAACCGAAGGGTGGGTAGCACTGACAGGCCTCAGGAACTGAGGGTTCATAGGGAGGTCACGGTTCAGTTTTGTACTCTGGATTTGGGCTGTTAGTATTACTCTCGTCAATAACTATGTTTAGCTCTGGAATGTGGGCATGTTATGTCATACATTTAACAATGTTTATAACAATAACCTTATCACACCACCATCTGACTATGATCTGCCCAGTCTTATTTCTGTATATTATGAGGCAGAGAACAGAGCAGAAGGGGAAGAAATTCTCTATAAATGAAAGATTCATTTCTACATTTATTTCACTGCAAATAACAGCAAATTCACCTCCTTCCATAAGACCCCTGAGGACAAGTAACAAAACATGAATCACATGAATAAAACAAGATCAGCTAGTTAATAACTGGGAAAGACTAAAGGATTGGCAGCTTTTCCCATTCCTTGAACAGACACAGGAGGCATCAGAACCAGAATCAGATATGACAGAGATCTGGGGAATTTAGTACAACCATGTGTGGCGCTGTGGGGTAATGTGCTGGACTGCAAAGTCGGTTTGAATTGCAAGGCTGGCAGTTCAAGTTCACCAACTGCTCCTTAGAAACCCTACACATGGTTGTTATGGGCTGGAACCAACTTGATGGCACTTAACAATAACAACAATGAATGATGTTTAAAAACCCCAACTGGACTTCCGGCGCTTCCCTGACCGGGCAGGCCAGGTACATGGGCTCCGGAGAATACAGGGGTGGTGTCACACAGGGGAGGCCCCCCACTTGGTAGACAGACAGCCTTTGGGCAAACATAAAACTTTAGGCCTTAACATTATGAGCTTGCTTTTTTAAAAAATTAAACTGCTGAGGAGTTACAAGCATTTTGAGCCTCCACCCACCTGTGCTTGGTTCCCACCCCGGGGACTGCCCGGCCCATTGCAGAGCGTGGCGCTCAGGGCTTGAGCGGAGCTGTTCAGAGGGCAGACCTATTGATAATTACACTGAACGTAAATGGATTGAATGCACCTGTTAAGAGACGGAGGGTGGCAGAATGGATAAGAAAACAAGATCCTTCAATATGCTGTCTGCAAGAGATGCATCTCACACACAGACACA